TAGTTTTAAGGATAAAAAATTGCTGAAAATGGCTCTAAATTGACACAGAATCGGCTAGAAAGCAGCTAGACAGAGTGAAAATTGACTCATTTTTCTCCGATTTCTAGATCCTAAATCTGACTGTTTTTTGCCCGATTTTTGGCTCTCTAAATTTTCCAAACTTCTAGCTAATTCCCTCCCTTTAATTACCCTCTGATTCTTGCAGCTACGGCAAATGCGTGCCGCAATTCGTCCAGGAATGCATCACATTCGCACTGGACATGGATGAATGTGGTGGACAACGATCGCTCTATCTGGATGGAAACGAATGGATCCGGCCGTCGGGTGCGAATCGATTCTTTCGAATCTCCTATCCACCGAATCAAGGATCAGCGGATGAGGATGGATTGAATACGTGGAGCATCGAGAGATCAGCTAACGCCAGTAATAGTGATATTCAGGTGAGAAATGTAGCTTTTGAAATTTTCGGGTTAGCAGCTGTTCCAGATGATAGCTGAAAATGACTGCAAAATGATTGAAAATGGCTGAAAATCTGGAATTTTCAGCCAGATTTTTTTCTTGATTTTTCGATCATTTTCAGCAATTTGGAGCCCAAATTCAGCGGTTTCTAGACAACCGGACAATACTTCTCAGTCTCAAACCACTAGTCCATTTTCAGCCATTTTTTTTGACTATTTCCTTGTGATTTTCAGCCAATTTCAGCTAGTTTTGGACCATTTTCAGCGATTTCAGCCTATTTTGACAAAATTTTCAAGTCAAAAATATGATTTGCAGACTTTTAACCCCATAATCAGAGCCCTAACCCAATTAAATAAATAGCTTTTGAATTGAGATGACCCAAAATCCCTCCTAACGCGTTAATAATCGCTTTTATAGCACTTACAATGGCCTAAAAAATCGCATTTAAAGCGTTAAAAATAGCTGGAAATGGTCTGAAATCGGTCGAAATTCCTCGAAACGTCCCATTGTTCATGTTCCTTCCCCCCCTCTATTTTTCATATTATATCATCTTTTCGAAGGAACAAAAAAGAAGGAATAACCCATAACCCTGCTTCTAGAACTTTTGAAAAACGTCACAAACACAAAAAAATTGCCCCCCCTGACGACACCTGACGGCTCTTTTTGAACAGCTGAGCCTCATATTTCTCTGCGTCTCTCTCTCTCTCTCTCTCTCTTTTACGCAGAAACCGAATTTCCAGGTCATAGGATCATAGGGGTACCCGGATCCACATTTTGTTATTTTTGTTCTGATACTACTCACGGGACAGTCGAAATAGATGAAAATACCGTAAAACCTGTAATAAAAGGGCCCCCTGACTTTCAACTTTGAGCCAATTTATCTTGGTTCCTGATAAAAATATCGAAAATGTTTCAACTGATAAAATGTAGCTGATAATATGCTAAACATTTTATCAGTTGATAACTTTTTGTTATCTTTCATAGAAACCGAGATAATTGAGCTCAAAGTTGACAGCATGGGGGGCCCTTCTATTACAGGTTTTATGGGGTAGGCTGAAAATTATTGAAAAACGAGCTGAAAATGAGAATGGTGTCTCTTTTTGGCTCACTTTCAACCTATTCTGTGCTGTAAAACGTCTGAAAATGCGCTGCTGAAAAATCCGATTGCTCAGCTTAGACGCGCTCTCTGAACATTTTCGCAAACGATAGTTTGACCATTTTCAGCCTATTTTCAGCCAAAAAGAATATCTGAAAAAACAGCTGCTACCTGAAGAAGAAAAAAAAACGAATCACCTGAAAACTGGAGAGAAGGAAGCTCACGTGATTTTCTTTTTTTTTTCAAAAAAGCGAGAGATTACCGTAAAACCTCTAATAGAACGACACCCGGATCGTCCACTTTGAGCCTAAGTATCTCACTTCTTTTGAAAGATATCAAACAGTGGTTAACTAGTAAAATGT